GTCTAGCACCATTTGTTTAAAAATATTCTTTCCCTACTTAATTACAGTTATAACTTCATTGTAAATGAGGTGACTGTATATGTGTGGATCTATTTTTGAACTCTCTATTCTGTATCATTATTGGTCTGTATGTCTATTGTGCCGATACCACACTTATTATATTAATTACTTGTAACTTTACAATAAGTCTTAAAATATTTTTCTTTAAGATTATCTTGGCTATCCTAGATCCTTTGCATTTCCATATAAATTTTAGAATCAGCCTAGCTCACAGCAACCTCAAACTCCTGGGATCAGGCAATCCTGCCTCAGCCTCCCAAGTAGCTGGGACTACAGGCATGCGCCACTGTGCCCAGCTAATTTTTTCTATTTTTAGTTGTTTGGCTAATTTCTTTCTATTTATAGTAGAGATGGGGGTCTCACTCTTGCTCAGGCTGATCTCGAACTCCTGAACCCAAACAATCCTCCCGCTTCAGCCTCCAGAGTGCTAGGATTACAGGCGTGAGCCACCACACCCAGACTATACCTTTTTTCTTGATAAAATAACATTTTTATTACATAAACAAATTGAAATTGAAAATAAAACATGATAGTATGCAAAAAACATTATTCTCTGTTAAAAATATAAGTAAAATGTAAGTGATATTTGTCATGATTTTGACATTAGTGTAAAAAACTTCTCTTTTTTAACTGCTTGAGCTTTTATGCAGAGGATTACAAAGTCATTAAATATTATTGTTCTATAGTATTCTTTAAGTTATTTTTAAATTAGGTATTAATTTGTGAGTGCAATGCACACCACATGGAGGATGGACATGCTTGAAGCTCTGACTCGGCGGGGGGGGGGGTGGCAAGGGCAGTATATGTAACCTTGTCTATATTTGTACCCCCATAATATGATGAAATAAAATTTAAAAAAAAATTGAAAAAGTTTACAACCAAGAGACTTTCTCTAAGGGAATATCTTAAAAAAAAAAAAAAGAACAATATGTAAATTGACTCCAGCAGAAATATCTGAGGTGCAATCATGGGAAATTAAGTGATCAAATATGTAAGTGAATAAAAATGCATTTGTGTATATATATTATTTAAAAAATTAGTATTAATTTGGAGAAAGAACATTCTGTTGAATGTCTAGTAATGGAAATAATAAAAAAGAAATGCATTTAAGAAAACCTGTACTCATATTTTAGTGTAAAAGTTAAACTAAAAGTTTTAGTGTAAAAGTTATCACAGCAAATTATAAAATACTTTATCTTTTTACTTTCACGTAATAATAGTGCTTTTACTCAAAACAATAATTGTTTCAGCAAAACACATGCTTTCATTGATTAATAAAAAGAAAAAATGTAAATAAATAATATAAAATTTTAAAAATAGAAAGAAAATGAAAAAACAGTAATTGTGTTGCTTATGCTTCTTTTTTTATTTGTACAAATTTATGGGGTACATATGAAATTTTGTTACATGTATATAATGTATAGTGATCAAGTCAGGATATTTAGGATATCCATCTCCTGAATACATTTTTTTATTATAGTCACCCTACTCTGCTATCAAACATTGAATATTTTCCTTCTGTCTAAAACTGTATGTTTGAACCCTTTAGCCCATTTTTCTTTGTCCTCCCAACCCCACTCACTCTTCCCAGTCTTTGTTCTCTACCTTCCCATTCTCTGCCTCCATATGGTCAGCTTTTTTAGCTCCTGATTACAGTAAGAACATGTGATATTTGTCTTTTTGTGCCTGGCTTATTTCATGTAAGACAATGACCTCCAGTTCTACCCATGTTGCTGCAAATGACATAATTTAATTTTTATTTATTTATTTATTTTGAGACAGAGTCTCACTCTGTCACGCAGGCTAGAGTGCAGTGGCCTCATCATAGCTCACTGCAACCTCAAACTTCTGGCCTCAAGTGATTCTCCTGCCTTAGCCTCTCAAGCAGCTGGGACCACCAGCCCATGCCACCACACCCAGCTAATTGTTTCTGTTTTTTGTAAACAGGGTTTCATTGTTACTCAGGTTGGTCACAGACTCCTGGCCTCAAGTGATCCTCCTACCTGGCCTCTCAAAGTGTTAGGGTTACAGGTATGATTCACTGTACCTGGCCTTATTCCATATCTTTACTATTGTGAATAGTGCTGCAGTAAACAGGCGAGTGCAGGTATTTCTTTGATATATTAATTTCTTTTCCTTTGGATACATATCCAGTAATGTGTTTCCTAGATTGCATGGTAGTTCTATTTTAGGTTATCTGAGAAATCTCCATATCTACAAATCTCCAAATTTCCATATGGCTATACTATTTTCATATGGCTATGTTTATAATCCCACCTACAGTGTATGAGTTCCCTTTTCTCTGCATTCTTGCCAACATCTGTTATTTTTTGTCTTTTTAATAATAGCCATTCTTACTAGGATAAGATGATATCTCATTGTGGTTCTGATTTGCATTTCTCTGATGATTAGTGAGATGTTGAGGAAGATTTCTTCATATCTTTTGTCCTGTTTTTAATGGGAGTATTTGTTTGTTTCCTGTTGGGTTGAGTTCCTTGTGTGTGTATGTGTATATTATGTATATATATATATTTTTTTCAAGACAGGGTCTAGCTATGTTGTCCAGGCTATAGTGCAGTGGTATAATCATAGCTCACTGCAACCTCAAACTTTTGGGCTCAAGTGATCCTCCTGTCTCGGCCTCCCTAGTAACTGGGACTACAGGTGTTGTACCACCATGCCCAGCTAATTTTTCTATTTTTTTGTAGAGATGGAGTCCTTGTATATTCTTAATATTAGTGTCCCATCAGATTGATAATTTGCAAATATTTCTCTCATTCAATAGGCTGTATCTTCACTCTTTTGATTGTTTCTTTGACTATGCAGAAGCTTTTTAGTTTATTTAAGTTCCATTTGTCCATTATTGGTTTTGTTGCCTGTGCTTAGTAATAATTCTTTGCCTGGAACAATGTCCAGGAGAGTTTCCCCTATGTTTTCTTCTAGTAGTTTTATAGTTTCATGTCTTATAGTTTAGTCTTTAATCCATTTTGAGTTGATTTTCATTAATGGTGAGAGTTAGGGGTCCAGTTTCATTCTCTTGCATGTAGCTATCCAATTTCCCCAGCACCATTTGTTGTTCTTTCCCCAATGTAAGTTCTTGTTGGTTTTGTCAAAGATCAGTTGGCTGTAAATACGTGGCTTTATTGCTGGGTTCTCTATTCTGTTCCATTTGTCTATGTGTCAGTTTATAGCAATACCATGCTGTTTTGGTTACCACAGCTTTGTAATATATTTCAAAGTCAGGAGTGATGCCTCCATTGTTCTTTTGTTTGTTTGTTTGTTAAGGATTGCTTTGACTATTTGGGCTCTTTTTTTGTTCCATATGAACTTTATGATTGTTTTTTCTAATTCTATGAATGATGCTAGTGGTATTTTAAGAGAGATTGCATTGAATCTGTAGATTGTTTTCAGCAATATTATCATTTTAACAATATTGATTATTCTGATTTTTGAGCATGTGATATTTTTCCATTTGTTTGTATCATCTTCAATTTCTTTCAACAGTGTTTTGTAGTGTTCCTTATAAGGATCTTTTACCTCCTTGGTTAAATTTATTCCTAGGTATTTTTTTGTAGCTATTATAAATCAAGATTACCATCTTGATTTTTATCTCGGCTAAATCATTATTGGCATAGAGAAATGATACTGATTTTTACAGATTGATTTTGTAACCTACAACTTTACTGAATTCATTTATCAAATCTAAGACATTTTGGTGGAGTATTTAGGTTTTTCTAGATGTGAGATCATATTGAGCCGGCGCGTGGTGGCTCACACCTATAATCCTAGCACTCTGGGAGGCTGAGGCTGGAGGATCGCTCAAGGTCAGGAGTTCAAAACCAGCCTGAGCAAGAGCAAGACCCCGTCTCTATTATAAACAGAAAGAAATTAATTGGCCAACAAATATATATATATATATAAAAAATTAGCCGGGCATGGTGGCACATGCCTGCAGTCCCAGCTACTCAGGAGGCTGAGGCAGAAGGATTGCATGAGCCCAGGAGTTTGAGGTTGCTGTGAGCTAGGCTGATGCCATGGCACTCTAGCCCAGGCAACAGAGTGAGACTCTGTCTCAAAAAAAAAAAAAAAAAAAAAATCATATTGTCAGCAAAGAGGGACAGTTTGACTTCCTCATTTCCAAGATTATACTTTTTTAAAAACCTTTTCTGTTATTGCACTGGCTAGGGTTTCTAGTATAATACTGAATAGATGGTAGTGAACATTGTTTTCATGTTTCCAAATTCAGGGGAAAAGTGTTACCCCTATATCCTAGCTATAGGCTTTGTATAAATGCTTTTGCTGCAGCTATTGAGATGATCATATTGTTATTCTTCTTATTCTGTTAATATGGTAAGTTAAAGTGATTTTTCAAATGTTAAACCAACTTCACTTCCTGGAATAAATCTAACCTGGTCATATATGTTACTCTTTTTACATATGACAGGGTTTTATTGTTAACACCTGGTTTAGGATTTTGGCATCTAGGTTCATGGGAGATGATGGCCTGTAAATTTTCTTTTTTTATATTGTCTTTGTCAAGGGTTAGAATTAGAGTTATGCTGGCTACATAAAATGAAATGGGAAGTGTTCACTCTTTCACTATAGTCTGAAGGAGGTTGTTAATATCGGTGTTATTCTTTAAATGTTTGAAATAATTGTCCAGTGAAGCCATATGAACATGGAATTTTCTTTGTAGAAAGAGTTTTAATTATGAATATGATTTCTTTAACAGATAGAAGACCATTCAGAGTCTTGCTTTCTTTTTTTCTTTCTTTATATATGTTGAAGATATGCTATTAGGTGTATACAAATTTAGGATTATTGTATGTTCCCTTTGAGTTGATATTTTAATCATTATAAAATGTCTCAAAATGTCTCTCTTTATACTCTTTATATCTAGTAATACATCTTCCTTTTTTTTTTTTTTTTTTTTTTTTGAGCCATGATCTCACTGTGTCACCCAGGCTGGGATGTAATGGCTTGATCATAGCATACTGCAACCTCAAACTCCTGGGCTCAAGTGATCCTCCTGCCTCAGCCTCCCAAGTTGGTGGGACTACAGGCATGCCCTACCACACCCAGGTAAGTTTTTTCATTTTTTGTAGAGACATGGTCTCACTGTTGCTTAGGCTGGTCTTGAACTCTTGACCTCAAGCAATCCTTCTGTTTCAGCCTCCCAAAGGGCTAGGATTACAGGTTTGAGCCACCATACCTAGCCAGAACTTCTACCACAATAGAAAAATCTTAGGACCGTTTAATTCTATTTATTATTCTTCCTTCCTTTGTAGCATTATTGTCATATATTTTATATCTACATATGTAATAAACTTCATAAGACACTACAGGTACTCTTCAACTTATGATAGAATCTGTCTCAATAAACCCATCATAAGTTGAAAAAATCATAGGTTGCAAATACATTTAATACATCTAACCTACCAAATATCATAGTTTAGCCTAGCCTACAATAAATGTGCATAGAACATTTACATTAGCCTACAGTTGGGCACAATGACCCAACACAAAGCCTATTTTATAATGAAGTATTATATATTAATATCTCATATAATTTATTATACACTGTACTAAAAGTAAAAATCAGAATGGTTGTATGGATGCTCAAAGTGTGATTTCTACTGAATGCATATTGCTTTCCCACTGTCATAGTTGAAAATCTTAAGTCAAACCATCACAAGTTTGGGGACCATCTGTATTATTGTTATTTTGCTTTTTAAAAAATCTAGTTTCTTTTAAACTAAGCCACATGTTTACCCTTGTGGTATTCTTAATTTCTCCTGCAGCTCTGTACTTCATCTGCGACCATTTTCCTTTAGCCTGAAGAATTTCTTTTAGAATTTATTGTTGTGTGGATTTGCTGGCAACAAATTCACTTAGGTTTTTGTTGCTGTTGTTGTTATTTTGGGTTTTATTTGTGTGTGTTTTCTTGGTGAGATGTTGTCTTTATCTCATCTCATTTTGAAGAATAATTTTTCTTGGTATAGAATTCTAGGTTGGGATTTATTATTATTATTATTATTTTTAGCAATTGAATGATGTCATTCCATGGTCCTTTTTGCTTCTGAGGAGAAGTTGGTTGGAAAACTTATTGTTCTTCTTTTAAAGGAGAAACTTTTTTAAGATTTTAGTTTTTTGTCTTTTATTTTCAGCAGTTTTACCAAATTATATCTGGACATGAGAATTTTTGGATTTATCTTGAACTTCTGAAATCTGTGAATTGAAATATTTTTTTCAATTTCAGAAAGTTCTTGGCCATTATATTTTCAAATATTGCTTCAACCCCATTTTTTTTCTCTTCACCATTTAAGATTCCAATTATATGTATGTTAGACCATTTGACTGTGTCCTGAATGTCTTTTATTACTATTCTCTTTTACTCATTCGTTTTTCTTTCTATGCTTCAGTTTGAATATTTTTGTTGGACCTGTCTTTGTGTTCACTAGTCTTTCTAGTCTACTCTTAAACAGATGAATTATTTTTTCAGCTTTTTTGTATTTTTCGTTTCTGGATTTTTCATTTGATTCTTTTTGATACATTTATTTATTTATCTTTTTATGTTTATTTATTTATTTTTTATTTTTGCATATTATGGGGGTACAGATTTTAAGGTTTCAATAAATGCCCATTTCTCCCCTCCCCCCACAAGTCTGAGTATCCAGCATGACCATACCCCAGATGGTGCACATCTCACTCATTATATATGTATATACCCGCCCCCTCCCCCTCTGCCAATACCCTATTACTGTAGTACCTATTTGACCACTTAGGTGCTGTTCAGGTAATACCAATTTGCTGGTGAGTATATGTGGTGCTGTTTTTCCATTCTTGGGATACTTCACTTAATAGTATGAGTTCCAGCTCTAACAAGGAAAATATATAAGATGTGCTATGTCACTATGTTTCTTAGAGCTGAATAGTACTCCATGGTATACATATACCCATCTTTTATTAATCCATTCTTGGATTTTATGGGCACTTGGGCTGCTTCCACAGCCTTGCAATTATGAATTGTGCTGCTATAAACATTCCCGTGCAGGTGTCTTTTTTGTAGAGTATCACTGGAACTTTTGGGTAAGAGCCAGCAATGGATTGCTGGATCAAATGGTAGATTCACTTGTAATGCTTTAAGGTATCTCAGATTCCTTTCACAGAGGTTGAACTAGTTTGCAGTCCCACCAGCAGTGTAGAGTGTCCTCTCTCTCTGCAACCAC